TTTCCTATTATTTTTTTTAATCATTCTTCCTGACAGGATGGTCCTCTTAAGTTTTGTTTGACGACATTCTTACTTTTTAAATATCTCATTTCTGTATATAATACAGTAGTTTAACTGCCTTTAAATTATTTCAATACAGTGAAAACATATAAAAAAGTAACTTGAATTTTAAATGTAATACCTAATAGACAATTTCTGATTCAAGAATGAGCTATTTTTACATAAGTTTTTAGTCCTTGTTGTAATTCAAATCACTTTGCTGTAAAATTTTTACTTACATACAGTAGCTATTATTTTACATAAATAGATTTTAAAAGATTCCAACTTTATTAAGACATGCTTTAGAAAGATCCATTCAACTAAATGTTTAAATGACTTTGTTAATTCGTTAAGAGGAATGTTAGGAGAATGTGTGTAATTGAATCAAGGTCGACTCCTGTGACCTCATGACAAAAGCTCTCCATTTACATCTGGTCTCAATAGCATTATGGAAATCAGATAATGTCATCCTTGTGATGTCCATAATGCGTCCTCTTTACCTTCAATCAATCCATCTTTACCATGACGGCATTTTCAAGCCTTCATCATCTGGCGATATATGCAAATTTACGTACGTTTTAGTTTCGCAAGCTAGTTTTTATTAGGAAAATATCGAATCAACTATTAGAGAAAATAAAAATCTTAAATTTAAATTGTTTTCATTTTTATTCCAAAATGTACAAAATTATAATCCTAAAGAAAAATAATTTCAAATGTATAGAAAAATTATTTTATCTTCATTATTTTTTACTTTCTTATATACTAACCTTCAACCCAAGTCATAATTTCATACAATTATCAATCACATATCAAGCGTCTGCTTTCCAACCTTAAAACCTTCTCACATGGCTTCGAACCAAAACAAGTTTCTTAAAATACGCCATCTACACATTATAAACATATATTTCTAGATGAGTATAAAAATAAAACTGCCTTATAAATCATTTATATTTTAAACTCTTCATTGCGTTATTTAATCTATTCAATACGTAAACATCATGACTTTGATACATCTGAACTACTGATTTAAACTATAATACAAAATAAATAAAGATAATACAGTAGTAATTTTAATAATAAAAAAGTTACACAAGCATAAACAAATACTGGTACAGTACGTGTATGTATAGTATATATATTTTTATGTGTCCCATAATTGTGTGCCATATTTTATTTTAAAGCAACTGTGTTGAAATTCATACACATTAAATTATTGGGTTGATTCGAAAGTTTCTGGAATTTTTTAGACCTATCTAGAATATTCGAAATTGTTCTCCGATAGATGGCATCTAGAAGTTTCTTGTGGGGGTATCCCCGCGTTTCCTTATGCAGCGCTCGAGAAGTGCTTTACAGCGAACACACTGAAAATGGTTTCTAATTGGCCAACACTGCTCATGACGTCATTTCGCTATACTCTCGCCGCATAAAGAAACGCGGGGTATGTAAACGAAGTGTGTTGAAATGCACAATCATTGGCTAAGTGATTCTGTTCCCTGAATACTGATATGTTTGGTCGTGAGTTTGCTCCTCGCCAGGACGGGCTGGCCAAGTGGAGTTTTCCTCGTTTTCTCCACGTCTCTAACGCCTAAATAGAAGCCACTTACCATTAAAAGACCTCCCGGAAGGCATTTCCGCCGCACTTCGCGAGGAATTTCATATGGTCAAGTAAAAAAAGCTTCGGCCGGCTCTTCGGAGGATAGGCGGATACGCAATAACCTCCATATTAACCCCGATAAGAGAGAGAGATTCACAATCAAAGTGAAAAGATATTCTGTGTGGCGATACCATCTTTTTAAATTGATGAATTTTGCCAATGCTTTCTTGTGACCAAATTCGAACTTGTGTGCTTTACGATTATCAAGTTGGTAGAAAAGCAACTCAATCTTATCGCCGTATTATACAATCATTTGGCGAGAATCTCGACACCAAGTCTACAATCTACGATTGATTCAGTAAATTTAAAGTTGGGCAATATGAAAAAGATAAGGCACTCTTAGGAAGGCCTTCGTAAGAGTGGCTTAAGAGTGGAGTTGGCCTCCACCAGCTGCGGCAGCTGGTGGAGGCCAACTCGCGCCTGACCACGCGAAAAATGAGCAAGATACTTGATTGTGACAAATCTGCCATAGTTTCCCATTTAACTGCCATTGGCAATATCACAGGTAAACATTGTGCGCTTTATGACAACGCAATACTACACGTGTCAAAGGTGATCCGGCAGTAGCTGCTTGATCTCGACTGAGAGGCTTTCGTTCACATTGCACCATCCTACTACCATCTCTTCCATTTCATGTAACACTCCTTGGATGGAAAGCAATTCACTGATGACGAGATGAAAATCGCAATTGCAGAGTTCTTCGAAATAAAACAGCCTGAGTTTTATTCAGCAAGAATCCGTAACCAGCCCAACCGATGGAAGAAGGGGCTTGAATGCGACAGCAAGTTTTTCTTGAATAAATTATATTTTGTTTTTAAAATAAATATATTTTAAAACATCAACAAAATACCTGATATTACAAAACATCCTGGTGAGGAATTCCAAATATTGCGCCTGAGTCTTTTCACGCTATCCTGACGGAAACTCCATCCGGACATAAGGCAACAGAATTTCCTCAGTAATGAAATCTTTCTTCAGTTGGAGAGAACTCTATCTCATTGAACACGATAAATCTGTGCAACTCTGAATAATATCTTTCCTAAAGACACTAGATGGGCGTGTTTGTAATATTCTTTGCCTTCGCGATCGTCCGCCATTACCCCCTGGATTTCTCCCTGTGGTTCTGAGAAGGATCACATTTATATGACAAAGCCGCTGTTTATTCAGGAACTTACTGACAGAATTCTGGGGAATACGTGTCTTGTGACACCAGAAATGCTCAAGCGTATGCATTACAGGCGGTCATATTGAAATAAAGTGAGATGCAAAATCCGTTACCGAAATAGTTTTATAAAATAATGTTATTTAATATGTACAGTACATGTAATAAGCACGATTGTTTCAAAATAAAACAGGACATAATTATGGCCCTCCCTGTAAGCTAAACATACAGTTCTCTTTTTCTAAACAAAATTACTGTCGGTAGCATATTTGGTGACAACATACGGCTTGTTATTAAATTCAGCGCTGCTGTTTTTGCTGCAATCACTGCTGAAGGTGTTTTAACAACGCATACAGAGCAGCGCTGCAATTTTATAATGGCGAATCTCAATGCAGCTGTTAAAATGTTTTGCGAATTATTTAATTCAAAATATTTTTAAAGTAATTCATTTTTACGATATAAGACTTTGTTTGAGAGGTAAAATTAACGATTTAAATTTAATGCAAGCAGCTTCTTTCTGCAGCATAAAGTAGATAATAAAACATTTTAAATATAAAAGTTTTATCAAATATTTTATTTTACTAATGAGTATTTTAAAAGAAAAATTAGTACAAACAGAATATCGAATCAAGTTCCTCAACTAAAACAAGCGCTGCAACAAAATGGCTGCCTCCACGAGGAAAATGCCCCAAGTTGGTTTCTTATATGACGTGAAAGTGACAATAAAAGTATAAAGTTATGATCATCTTGATTCGATATTCTGTTTGTACAAATTTTTCTTTTAAAATACTCATTAGTAAAATAAAATATTTGATAAAACTTTATATTTAAAATGTTTTATTATCTACTTTATGCTGCAGAAAGAAGCTGCTTGCATTAAATTTAAATCGTAAATTTTACCTCTCAAACAAAATCTTATATCGTAAAAGTGAATTACTTTAAAAATTTTTCGAATTAAATAATTCGCAAAACATTTTAACAGTTGCATTGAAATTCTCCATTTTAAAATTTGTATGCGTTGTTAAAACACCTTCAGTAGTGATTGCAGCGAAAGCAGCAGCGTTGAATATAACAACAAGACGATAGAATGTTTTTTCACTGAGTAACTGCTGTATACCAGCCGACGGCCGGATGGCCAAGCGGTCAAGGCGATAGCCCACCACTCTTGGACACCAGGGATCGAATCCAGAGGTCGACATATTGACCTCCGTCCTTTACCACACAGCCACCCCATTGTAGGCCTGTCAGAACTCATAATGGGCTTGCTGAAAGGAACTCTCCTAATGCCCACAGGGTGGAAAGAGTTAAAAAAAATTATATACCGGCTGTGAATACCTTTTATGCTATCTGTCGGTGCGTTCCATTTTTTTTAAATACCTTAATATAAATCTAATAAACTGTTTTGTCTAAGATACTTTAAAAAAGCTTTATGAATTTCATTAATTTGGCCAGACTCCAACGAGGATCATGTTGGTGAGGATGAGATCCGACATACTTGGGTCAAATCTCTCATGAAGGATAGTCGGATGGGCACGGCGGTTAGGACGTTAACCTACCAATTTAGAGGCCACGATATCAAATCCGGTGGGACAAAAAGCTCAGGAATATTTTAGGGAATGATCTGTCCTAAATATATGAGGCTTCGTCCTTCACTTACTAGGTTGCCACATTATGGGCCTGACTGAATCCGCAATTGGCATGGAAAATGCCTTCTTAGGGTCATTAAGACGAGAATCAAAAAATGAGAGAAAAAAGGCCTACAATGTAGCGGCCGAGTGGAGATGGACGAGACAAGATAGATCCGAGACAGAACAACCATGAAAAATCCTAGAATCTTCCTCCCAGGTTAGATTTCTGGTCTTCCAGAAAAGTAGCCTTTATCGCCTCTGTTATCCGGCTGTCATTCTTCATATTTGTACAAAAATGTTAATCATGATAACCATAAATATTTTAATAACAATACAATTTCTAAATTACTTATTAGGCATAATAATTTTAAATAAATGCATGTAAAAATAATTTATAATCGTTATAAAAAAGTAATTTTTTGGGCTACAACATTTATTTGCGAATGAGATTTCAGTGACGTGTTTACTGAGTTTAAATTTCAATACCAGGAAGTATTATTTATTTATCTAAAATATAAATGAAAAATAATAAAAATTATTTTTTATTTTCAATTAATCATATAAGATCGAAAATATATATACGATAAATCATAAAACTAAAGGTAAGTTTTTAACTTAAAACTTTTTTAAAAACAATTGGAAATAGAGTAGCAGTAAGGCCACTTGATCGCTTTGCTAGTAATCAAGTGGCCTTGATAGCAGACGATCAAAGTTCACTAAACTAATTACGTCATTAATCAATATATGATGATACAGTTTTTTTTTTGGGCTGCGGGCCAGACATAACGTAAACTTGCGGACTAGGAAGTGCAATAAGTTTAGTGGCTTAGTGTGATAACAAATTATAGAATGATTTATATTGTATGATACTTTACTGTTACCTTGAAATTGATATTATTATTTCTTGTATGACGCGAGGCTATCGATTTGAAATTTTATCATAGTGAAATAACAGGTTAGATACCAAACATCTTTTCTCTCTCTGTTTATTTATTTCTATCGCTATTTATGGGAAGTGTGTGTATTTAAAAAGGTATTAAATGTGAAAACTTTTTAAAATAAACTATATTTTCTATGCATTTTATGCTTTAATTTACATTAGGTAGAAGTTACATTTAGGTAATTTATATTTGTGTAAATCAACAAATTAAAAGTAATTTCTACCTCTCTTAAAATGAAGAAGCTTCAGAAATGATTTTATAGTTACATTTTACAAAATATAGGAAAAATTTCTTACATATGTAAAATCTTTATGATTATTTATATATTTCTCTAAATTCCGCTCTAGATTAATTTTCATTTAACTTTATAATAATGGTCAATTATGTGTTCCATCTGTATAGGTTAAAAATAAAAAAACAAGATATGTTTTCAAATATTGAAATTCTCACGTATGAAATTAATGAAATTTTTATTATTTAATTACATGTAAATTACAACCAAATCTCCATTTTTAGCTTAAAAACTCGGCCAAATTAGATACTTTTTTGTCAAAGCAAAATATTGAAAATTTTTAAAAAGAAAAATGTATTATTATTTTATTAGGAAATAAAACTCTTTCAGTATAATTGTTTTTCTTTCAGTACTCTAAATGTTGTCCAACTCTGGTGTTGTCCAACTGAAATTCTTTTACTGGGCCAAAACCAAAAATAAAAAATACAACATGGGATGCACATATTTATTTACAACAAAACATATACAATTATACAGTATTTTGTATATATTTTAATGTGTGACTTGCTTTTCAATTTTTTCACTTAATTTTTTAATATCAACAGGTATTTTTGATGATGTACAATATAATTCGTTTTTTTTTAAATTTTTATCTGTTGATCTATTACAACTTTTACATTTAACAATCTTCAGTTTTGAGAAAAAAGATTCACAAAGATAGGTGATTCCCATTGCAGTGGCAATGTTCATCATGTTTTTTTAGATTAAGGAATTTATCATTACAGACATATTTTGTATAAAATTGAACTTTGTTATTGTCCTCAAACATATATTTCAATTCAGAAGATGACTGGAGATCTATCAAATCTACCTGCAAATTTGTTGGAGCTTGTTCCACAACAATATCAAATGGACATAAGAAAATATTAAATATATTCTCATAAATTTTTAAATATGAAAATCTTTACTGTAAGTAATAGATATGTATTATATCAATGGTGCAGTTTTCTTTATATTCTTTTAGAAAGCCAATTTTTCAAAGAATACAGGAGTAATATATGAAATAAAATGTCATGTAAGAAACCAGCGATATACATTGGCAAAACAGGAAGGCAACTCGGTACCAGAATAAAAGAACATAAAGCAGCAATTAGACTTAATTATAACCAGTCACCATGGACAAATCACTGTAGGGAATTTGGATGCACAATCAACAAAAAAAATGTAAAAATAATCCATAGAGAAAAAGAGAGTTATCTACAAAAATTCAAAGAGTACTTCGCAATTGTTAATAAAAACAAAACCATAAACCTAAATGTTGGAATGGAGGTTGACAACGTGTGGGAGGAGCTAAAGGGAAAGAAAACAAAAAGAAGGGAAAATGGTCTAAAAATGCCTTAGAGGACAACATCAACACTGGGCAGATGTATGTCTAAACATAAAACAGGTTAGTTAACTATTGTGTAAATATATCCAAAATTGTTGTAATTTACCNAACGTGTGGGAGGAGCTAAAGGGAAAGAAAACAAAAAGAAGGGAAAATGGTCTAAAAATGCCTTAGAGGACAACATCAACACTGGGCAGATGTATGTCTAAACATAAAACAGGTTAGTTAACTATTGTGTAAATATATCCAAAATTGTTGTAATTTACCATAATAACAAATGTAATAATCGAATTTACCAATTTATAGAAATGTAAAACTTGAAGAGGGGTGCAAGTTACACAAAAATATTGCACCCAAAATGCATAGTAAATAAGTAAATAAAGAATATGAAGATAAGCTTTTGTCTCTGATTAAATGCGGTCCAGGCAAAACGGCAGTTATTTCTGTGGAATTAACCATAAAGTTTCATCAATTTTTTGAGGAAATATTTTCTTTGAAAAATTGACCTTCTAAAAGAATAAAATGAAAATCTTTCTTGAAATTCTCTTAGTAAATTAGTCATTTCTTGTGCATATTTAGAAAAATGTTTTTGTCACTATTAAATTTATGTAATTTTGAACAATGAATTGTAGTTTTTGATTTTAACTGACTTTCATAAAGTTTGAATTTTGCTATGAATGCTTTCATATTTTGATAACAGTCTGTGATCAATTTGTTTTCACCTTGAAGCTGCTTATTAAGTTCGTTTAATTTCATTGTGATATTTGGAAGGAAATATAAATCCAAAAACCAGTGTCCATCATATAATTTAGGAATATTCTGGTCCATTTCATTCATAAAAATTTAAATTTCTTCTCTCAATTTCCAAAACTTTTTAAGCATTTTTCACGACTTAATTAGCAGAGATAGCTAAAGAGAATAACTTTATTAAAAATGTTTGACATTTATTACATATATATGGCAAATTTAAGGAAAAATAATTTCATTATATCAAAACACCAATTTAAAAATATTTGTTGTTGTAAACATACTGATTAAGTACATATATATACGGTATATACTGTACCTACATATATATTTTATGTGTAATACATTTGAAGATTTGTTAAAAAATATTTAATACTGTTTTAATTTCTAAGTGTACAGTACATGATAAGGTGTTATACATCATATTAATATATGTAACTATATATATATGATATTTCATTATAATAAAAATCTATACAAGATAATTATTGTTTAAAAGGGCCTCACAAAAACATTGATTGGGCTGCAGATTGGACATTGCTGCTCTAAATAAGTTATTTTTATATCATGCCATTATATTTTAAAGATTAACAACAAAATTCAAATTTTATTACATAAATTGTACAAGGTGTAACACATTTTTTACTATAACTGAAGACAATTTGCTTGGGAAAGATTTATAAAGATAAATAAAATTTATAAGATATTTAAAAATTTCTTAAAGTTATATATTATTTTTACAACCTCTAATTTAATTTTCAGTTGATTTTTCTACTATAGGATGTCTTTTGATTTCTATAAATACAAATTAGTTTTTCATTTTAATTTTAAAAAAATGAATTGTGTGTGTAAATATTTCAAGCTATTTTACAATTATGTACAGATTCTATCATAAATTTTTATTAAATAGACAAGTATGAAATCATAGTACTCTTTTATTATATGTGTTTTTTTATTCTGGATTGATTTTTAAAAATTTCATAAAGTCTTTCATATACACAACATAATATGAATTTTTGTCAGTTTTTAATATCAGCTTTAGTAAGGTTTTTTGTTTTTGTTATGGTTTGATATTATGATTTCACAAATTACCAGTTTGTATTTTTCTTTGATTTCATTACAAGAAACAGTTTACTTGATTAACAAAAGAAATTTTCAATTGTTTTTGCTTATCATACTACATTTGTGATAAAAAAATAAATAAAAAGAAACTTTAAACTGCTTATTAAGAAAGTCAGAAATAGGAATTTATTAGGAACATTTGTGATGTACTATTTGGCTGAAAATATTCCTAATAAATTCTTACTTTAGTCTTTTTTAACAAGAAGTTTGAGTATTTTTTAAGTTAAATATGATGCCAAGTTTTATTCATTTCCTAGATTATATTTTTGATAACAGTGACTTTGTGGTAAACTGTAAAATAGAATTTTATATTGCAATTTAATTATGGGATGATATTCACTTTTGGCCATTTTTTTCATGAAATAATTATAATCAAAATATTTTCATAGTGTCCTGAAAATAAAACCATTTGAGAAGAAAGAAATGACAACTAAAAATTATTTATATTTGCAAGCACTTTCTTTCAATTTAATCAAACATCTTTAAACAAATGAACATAGAAAACACTTCAAGAGCCATTGTTCTAATCTGTTAAGTATGGCTTGTAGACCATTGGTGATCCAAGAACATTTTTCAGGTGATCTGCAGATTGACTTAAGCATTTTTGTAAATTGCAATTATATGTTGTTTATCCAGAGGGGGGTTTTTTATGCTAAATATGCCATGTTAGGTTATTGAGTAGGCAAATCGTTTAGGCATATAAGAAAATGATTATTGGATAAAGAAATGGATGAAAACCTGAGTGACCTGCACTTCATATGTGAATCAGTTTAAGTGCTCTATGGACTGTATATGGTGTATAACCATCAAACTGGAACATTACATTCTTTTAACAATAGGAAATAACTGTTGATAGTGACTAAGGAGTGGAACTTTAGATAAAAGCATTTTTTTGGGGAATTTCCTTGTTGAAATTTTATTATTTTTTACAAGTGATGTTGCTAGGATAATAATTGCCATCCTGATACAACAAACAAGAAATGAAACCCATTAAAATATGTAAAAAAGTACAAACATATACAAATGAAACAGGAATATCATGTTTAAAAAAATTGCAAATTAGAAAATTAGCTTAAAAAAGTTGTTTTTTTGTCCAACTCCTGTTACTTTAGGAGATAGAAAAGCATATTTTCTTATATTTTTTGCATATTTTATATTTCACATGTTGTACAT